CGTGATGCCACAAAGACAGACCAGCTGGGATACTGAGCCTACGAAAATACAAATCTCCGAGAAATAATCTTACGATCGTTCGGCTTGGTCGAGGACATGTAATCTATTCCAAATTTCCATTTAGGTATATAACGGTAATATTTCAATTCCAGTATCCAACCATTTTAGTTAGCAAATTTCACCAGTAAATTCAATATTTTCTATTAGAACACATTATATTAATAAATTCATTGACGTCTGCCCGTATATCATTGTTCGTCGTTCCTTTTGTCATCGTTGACAGTTCGTCCTACAGCAGGTTCAACCGTCACGCATGAAGAAAGCAGCTCCTTCGCGTCATTGCGTGGCCCGGCTCCCAGCTGGTCTTTTGTGGCATCATAACGGGAAAGCAGAGGTGCATTATGGACTATTCTCCCCTACCGACATTGTACCACCTCTACACACTATTTTTTTTTTCTCGATTTGTTTTCCGCCGATCTTGTTTTCCGTGCTGAGCACCAACGCTACCGACGCCAGGGAGGCAGCTCCCACACCTAGACCCTACCTATCGACTTATCAACTCATGAACCGGGGACCAACGGCTTTACTCCCCCCTTCCCAAAGAAAGGCGTGATCCGAGATATTATGCCTCAGAACATCCCGGCGTCGCCGACTGGGATTGAACCCAGGCCTGCTGGGGTGAGAAATAATCACGTTTACCACTACACCACCGGCGCCGCTGCCTTTACTCACTAGATTTAGATTGTTTTGTAAATCTGCCAAACAAGAAGTCTCGACTCTGTAAACCTTCGGTGATTGAGTCTTTCAAATAAATTAATTTAAAAAAAAAAAACAAGAATGAGTTATGATTATGGTTAGGGTGGCCCTTAAAAATCAGTTCTTTTGGAATATCTTTTCATACGTTCATTTCTCGTAAAAAAAAAAGTTTTTGTGGACACCTTTAGAACTTTTGATGACGCATATTTTTGGTAAACCAACCAGGTTGCTATCTTTTTTAATTAGAAAGTTAAAGGTGATTTTCTTCGAAAAAATTGCTCTTTTCTATTTTCAATATCTCTAAATGGAGCAAACCGATTTTCAAACTTTTGATTCCATTTAAAATCTCGTTATTTGTGTGAGAAAACTGCGATCATTTTTTTTATTTTTGATTAAAATTTTAAATTCAGCAAAATATTGCCCAAAATTTTCAAAAAGAAGAGATAACCAAGTTGCTTCAGTGAAAATATGCATCACTAAAAGTTCTAAAAATATATAGAACAAAGTTTACACGAGAAGTGAACGTATAAAAAGAAATTTAAAGAAAAACAATTTTCTAGGGGCCACCCTAACCTGCTTGTTTGAAATAATCATAACTCATGAACCATAAGAGATATAAATGTGATGTCTGTGTTGCTTCAAATTGATTGGTCTATCACAAATAATAAAAAAGTTTGTATTTTCAATTGACCAATTTTATGGACCACCCACTAGCCACTAGCATAAAAAGATCGATCTTGTTCCAGACACTTTTAGACACCATATTTTTTTTATCTCTTATAATCATGAGTTATGATTTTTTTTTTAAACAAGCAGGTTAGATTGGCCCCTAAAAAATCGGATTTCTTTAAAAATCTGTTTATACGTGCATTGCTTGTAAAAAATGTTTGAAGTTAATTTTAGAACTTTTTATGACGCATATTTTTGCTGAAGCAACTTAGTAGTTATCTCTTTTATTTGAAAAGTTATACCTAGTGTTTGCTGAAATATATGACCTAAGGGAAATGGATGTTATGTCGGCCTAAATGCCCCTAATTTGGGCCCATACATCAATTCAGCAATCGACTAAATTTTTAATAGCGACCAAAAATATCTATTAGTACCGTCCCAATGAAGCGTTTATCTAGATACAAATGATAAATAGCAGATTTTTAGCGATGGGCCCAATATTAGATCCATAGGCCAACATTAGAGCCATTTCCCCTATTGTAAATTAAATTTAATGTTTTAAACAAAAACGCCCACGCATTTATTTCACCAAAATTAAAAAAAAAAACGATCTTTCAAATGGAATCAAAAGTTAGAAAATTTGATTGCTCCAATTAGAGATGCTGAGGGTCCTCTTTTTCGAAGAAAATCTCTTTTAAATTTCTAATAAAAATAGATAGCAACCTTTTTGCTTTAGTAAAAATATGAATAAAAAAATTTAAGCTATTTTTGGGATCTTTTAAATCGTTTTATGTGAAAAAATTAGAACACAAAAATTAAAAAATATCTGATCAGCACGTATAAATCTTTTGAGATTTGACATTTTTAGCTAAGCAGCCTCTTCTGAAACTTATTAGAAACGGTTATCGGTTCTAGTTTAAATCGCATTGGTGCAATTTTTGAAAAATATTACTCCGCAACAATTGATTTACGGCTACGACAACTAATAATGAAAATTTTTAAGCGTCTGAAATTTATAAGAAACTAATTTTGATCGCTACAATTCAGTAAGAACGATATTCGCCTTGTGCAACTAAATCCAAACGTTTTGTTTTATTCTGTAACTTGAAAGAAACTACGTTTATCATTTTCAAATTATTAACAGCAATTTTCAGTACGTGGTTGACATTCGAAGCTTAGTAGCAAATATTTCGAGTAACTAGTTTTCGGGTTTGGCAACATATGAGATATGAATTTTTGATTAGACAACATATATAATATGTTTGTCGGTATCTGCACGTAAACCATAAATGTATTAAATTGAATGTTAGCTGCATTTCCTATCATCCTCCACAGTGAATACCGCAGTGAATGGTATAAGTTAACCTAGAAGACGATGTAATGATTTTTATCTTTTTTATATCGTGTTCTGTCTACGCTTTCGACTATACCAGCAAGCATTTTATTCGTAACATTGTAGAACGACGCACACACTTGTTACGATTCTTTCCAATTCCCGTTTAGCAGAAAAAAGCATACACTCAAAAAATTCCACACGTCATCATCATATGTCTCACACTTAATTTTGCGCTTATTGTGAAACACATTAATTTCATGTGAGAATCTTATGCTATGAATCATGCCTGAATACTATGGATTTGGATTGTGACACACTTGGATTCTATGTGCCTCATTTGATGATATCAATAACTTTGCACATCATAGTTCAATATTCTACTTTATCGACTTCTACTTTACCGACTCTAATAATGAATCGAAAAATATATAAACAAAACTGCCAGAGGCCAGAGCTTTCACATATCTTTTTAATGGGTCTGGTTTGGGATTCGATCATGGACTGTTGGGGTGTGCTGCTGCCGGAGTCTTCGTTCGATCTCACTGTGCCACGGTTGTTCTCATATATGAGGCGGGTTGATAGGATAAAGTCACAACTCATGTTTTTGATGTTTACTTTTCTTTGCAAGCAATTCCCATCGTATTCAAATGGAAAACACTTGAATAGATAGTGAAAGATTTTCAACATTTCAAAGTTTGAAACACTATAAATTAACGTGTATAACACATTGAACCAAGGTGAAATACATTTAAAATAAATATGATTGTGCATTTAAAAAATCAAGTGTTTAAACACTTCGATCAAACGTGTGGAATTTTTTGAGTGTGGAGAAAGCACAGGTGTGATAATCGCAACGTTCATGGTTCGAGTCCCAGTCGATAACCTTTTTTTCCATTTTATTCCACATTTGTCTTTCTCCATTTTCTTGCATTGGAACGCAGCTCGGTATATCCCCCCGATGATGAATCCCTCATAATTGTAAGCAAATCTTACATCCCTTGGTTGGGTGCGCGTCTCATCAAAATCGATTTTTGACTTCTGAAATTATAAACCCGATCGGGGCACGAAGCGTCTACAATTCATAAGAAAACAACGTATAAGAAATGATTTTCGACTTTTCAAATTTATTAGAAATGATTTTAGACCCTTTGCAACATATTACGAACGATAGAGGCGGCTGGGTTCGATTCCCGGTCTAGGAATGTTTAGGATTGGAAAATTTCTCGACTTCCCCGGGCATAGGAGAATGATTGTATATATACTAATGCGTAATTGGTACAGGCTTAGAAAGCTCTCAATTAACTACTGTGGAAGTGTTGATAGAACACTGAGTTGAGAGCCTACATAAGCCGGCAGTGGGGACGTAATATAGCCAAAGAAGGCCTTATTACAAACAATCTTTAGGCATTTTTATCTTGTGAAACGATCGATCGAAGCACGAACCGTCTGCAACTTACAGGAAACAATTTTCATCCTCTGCAACTTATAACGAATAATCTTCGGCTGCTTAACCTAATACTTAGACTAAGATTAATAGGAGTGTAAGTTGTTGGCCTGATTTGCAGATTTGCAGATTTATTCTTCCATTCAAAGAATAAGTATTGCAGGCTATGTGACAAAATGTTCTCGAAATCAGATGAAGTTTGAGATTGTGTTCCCACAAATTTCCAATCATAAAGCTATGGCTCATTTGTGCCACCATGGAAAGACAAATCTGGGTCATTTATGCAACTGGAATTGCACATTCCAGCTGGAGGCTTGTACTTACCGTAGAAGCATTGCCCTGATGCTGCAATCGGGCTGCCTACCATTCTTCAGCTTCGGTGAATGGACTCGGATCAATACAAAATATGTGCAGTCGTCGTTCACGTGTGGCTAACAAGCACGTGGATATCGATGAGCGTAGACTCAAAACGAAGATTTCAATTATCCTGATTTATACCGTTTACCCCCATTCTCACCACTAACCAGATGCTGCTGCGGCTGCCGCTACTGTTGCAGCAAAGGATTAAAAATCAATACTCACACCACCGCGTCGTCCGAGAGAGCAGCATACTCGGTTGATGCACTGCTCGGTTTTTGCATATAAGAGGATTATCGGTTTTGCCTGGCTGTAGGAAAACACGTGTGCTTATTTTCATTCAAATCGCTATCAGCGACAGACATCACCAACCACCCGTACACGGAACTCGGAATCTGATTTTGACTGTTTTGCATCATCTTTCTTTTTCCATTTCAGCGGTCAAATTCGGTCGAATGTCGAAGAAGCAGCGGGAAAAGGTCGAAGACGAGGTACGGTTTCATCGAGCCCAGATGCGTGCCCAGAGCGATGCGGCGCCCGACAGTTCAGTGTTCGACACCCAGACGCCCTCGAGTAGTGACCAGCTCCATCACAGTTACAACGGGTAGGACCCACCCCCCGCAGGAACAGTTTCCCTTAGTAAAAGCTTTGAAATTACTTTTCTTTGATCCGGTAGATATGCGTACAACAGTGAAGTGGGTTATGGCAGTCCCTATGGCTATTCGACGTCGGTCACTCCTCAACAGACGATGGGCTACGACATCTCGGCAGATTACGTGGATAGTACAACAACTTATGAACCTAGAAGTACGATAATAGACTCAGATTTCATAAGTGGACACAGTAAGTACCGCAATTTTACCTGATTGTCAATTGTAAAGTCTACTACATTACGGTAGAAGCATGTTATAAAGACTAACCCAGAACGCGGTGATGGGCACCTGTGTGCGTGTGCGTGTGTGTGTGTGTTCTGTATTCCCGAGTAACGCTTCTTGAAGGCGATCTTTCGAGAATTCTTTTCAATCGTTACTCGGGTTGTACATATGCATTCCTTCAATACTAACCCACCTTCCAGACAAGGACGGCTCACCAAACCATCGAGCAATAACGCTGAACGATATTCGTTTGGCACGAGTTCAACAGACTGCAACGACCACCACTAATAGCAACAATAGCGCCGGTGGAGGTGGTGGTCAACAGCCGCAACCACAACAACAACCAGGTCAACAGCAGCAACAATTGACCCAACAACAGCAGCAGCAGAATCCAAATCAGCAAACAGCAATAACAACGCTTCCGAATGCAACCTCCGGCGCCGCTAACAACAACAACAACAACAACAACAACAGCACAAATAGTACAATTATCACCATCAAGCAGGAGCAGCTTACGGGCGTCGATAGCCTCGTGGGAAGCTTCGTAGACTCGACGACCTTCCTGCCCTCGCCGAACAGCCAACAGCAGATGGTCAATCCCAATCTGCTACCCTCTGCTGTCACGACCGGTCCCGCCGGTTTGGCACAAACCGTTGTTTCCGGTTCAGGTGAAGTCCCCCAAAATCGTATTTTACTAACAGCACACCCCCGGTTTTAACACTAACTCCCTTCTTTAACCCTACTACCCATGCTCTCTTTCTCTCTGATCCGATCCGATCCGATCCGATCTGATCGTTGATGGTCGCTTGGACGTTCCACCGGGATGGCACCACAATGGCGCGCAGAAGTCACACCAGGTAACAGCATAAGACGTAGCGACTGCTGCCAGCAGAACCCGGTGTCCTCGGTTGGCAACGGTACCAACGGAGGGGCCGATGGTATCGGGGTGCCCCACTCGCACCATCCAGCCAGCCAGAATACACCGGTTTCGTTCGGCGAGGACGACAGCTCCTGCGATTCGCACACCAAATGGGGTAATGTGGTTCTCTCCGCGTGGGTGTCTTTTCGTTTACACATCAAATGTCTCTCCGTAGCTTGTTCCGTTCGTTGGTGTCTGTTGTACCTGTTGGAATACTAACAATCACTAATCGTTGGTCCGGAATCTTACAGAGAACTAACGAATCGACTTTCCCGTTGTTCTTCTACTTACAGCCGAAGGCGACATCAATGACGTGTTGATAAAGACCCTTGCGGAAGCGCATGCCAATACCAACCACAAACTGGATGTTGTGCATGAAATGTTCCGGAAGTCACAGGTAGGTTCAACATTTTGCCGACTTATAGCAAACAATCTCAATTGAGAATTCCCATCATCTACAGGACGTCACCCGCATTCTGTACTACAAGAACATGAGCCAAGAGGAACTGTGGTTGGACTGCGCGGAGAAGCTGACGGCAATGATTCAGCAAATCATCGAGTTCGCCAAACTGATACCGGGCTTCATGCGGTTAAGTCAAGACGACCAGGTATGATACTTATCCCATCCTGACAACCAAAAACTCACTATTCCTGGTTCCAGATTCTCCTGCTCAAGACGGGCTCGTTCGAGCTGGCTATCGTCCGCATGTCTCGACTGATGGATCTCTCAACTAACTCCGTCCTGTACGGGGACATCATGCTACCGCAGGAGGTGTTCTACACGTCCGACTCGTTCGAGATGAAACTGGTGGCGTGCATATTCGAAACTGCGAAGAGCATCGCCGAGCTGAAGCTGACGGAGACGGAACTGGCACTGTACCAGAGTTTGGTGTTGCTTTGGCCTGGTGAGTAGGGCAGTTGTATTCTAGTGTCGGTACTGCTGGATGAAAAAAAAACCGAAATCCCACGAAGTTGATCGGATTGTGCTAATAATGGGCTCACATTAACCCTTTCCAGAACGAAACGGCGTCCGAGGTAATACGGAAATTCAGCGATTGTTCGAGATGAGCATGTCGGCCATACGGCAGGAGATCGAGGCGAACCACGCGCCGCTCAAGGGTGACGTGACGGTGCTGGAGATTCTGCTGAATAAAATCCCAACCTTCCGGTAAGTTTATTTTTTGTGTGTGTGAAGCGTTGGCGAATGCTCTCCAAACCTCCCAACAAACATTGAATGTTGAATAAGAGCTTATTCAGGCAAAAACAAGCTTCTTCAGCTAAAAAATTGCTTATTCAGTTGTTTGTTGGGCTCTGCAGTAGGAATCAAGAGTTATTAGGAATCATTCTGGATTGCAAAACAGTAAAGACAACAAGAAGCAATTACATTGGTGAAACTTATTGCGTCTGACAAATACATGTCCCAGACAACCAGAAGTCGTATAACAATGTACAGACAGTATCGTAAATTACTACAGTTTAAGTCAAAATCACATATAGGAGTGACATACCTCGCATTATGTTTAAGTTAAATCGTATAGAATGCAAGTTTCTGACCTATATGCGATGACTCATTTTTCGGCCGTACTGTATCACAAATTAAATCGGATTACATCGTAAGACTTTTCAAAATGAAATCGTTATAACAGATTAAATCGTATACGATGTTAAATCAACTTGTTTAATATAAAATTAAAATATGCACGTATACGGCCTCCACTTTTGTACGTATAAGTCATTTATTTGCATTCTATACGAATTGTTTGTTTGTATATATGTTTGTATATCACGAAAATAACTTTGACTATACGTGCATTCTGGTTGTCTGGGGCATTAGAGCTTAGCTTTTAAAACTACATCTAGATGTTGATTCTAAATATCGATCATATTTGTGATTTCTGGCAGAGTATTAATTGATCTTAATATCTCTGTCACCTGATTTTGTTGTACTTGCCAGTCTCAAGAATGTTTTGATAAGCAGCCTCTTAAATATATTTCTGTTAGTCTTAGACACTGGCCAATTATTATAACATGTAGTCTAAACAAGGCATTAGATTCTTGAAATCATTTTATCTTCCAAAACCGTGAACATTACTTCCCGTTCCGAATAATGAATTGAACGGCGTCCTGGAAAATTTTCCAAGCCTGAAGCGTCAATCTTTCTAGTCTCAGAATGTCGTGAACTATGAACCTAAGTCCCAGTAATTCTCTCTTGAATGTTTTCCTAAGCATGAGATCTCAATAAATGTTGGATGTTTCGGGATCTGGGGCCTCCCTTAGCTCAGTCGGTACAGGCGCAGCTACAAAGCAAGACCATGCTGGAGGTGGCTGGGTTCAATTCCCGGTCCGGTCTAGGAATTTTTCGGGTTGGAAAATTCCTCGACTTCCCTGGGCATAGAAGTATGATTGGACTTGTCACACAATTATACCAATGCAAAAATGGTACAGGCATCGAAAGCTCTCAATTAATAACTGTGGAAGTGAATCTAGAACACTAAGTTGAGAGCACACAATAACCTAATATGCAATATGCAATAAGCTTGATATGCCAAGAAGAAGAAGAAAGAATGTTTCGGGATCTCGTATTTATTTTTGAAAATGCTGAATGCTGCTGAAAACATTTGTCTGTGACCGGATTCTTAAGATAAAAATCTAGGTTTAAATTACCTTTACAATTTCTTTGAAGCGCATTCCAGGATTTCTTTGCACTTTTCTTGAGAATTTCCTTAGAAGCATCCCAAAATTTCCTAAGACTTTTTTTTTTTAAGAATTCCTCTAGAATAATGACAGGATTCTCCTGTGGGGTGCTATTCCATTGAAATTTTCTCCAAAACGCTGTAAAAATTCTTTGCACAACACTGCAAGGATTCTATCCACAAAATTCTGGAAATTTACTCTACAGTCCTCCTAGACTTATTATTAATTCTAGTCAAACTTCGGCAAAATTTCTCCCCACAATTCTCGCTTATATTCCCTTGAAACATTCTTAAGATTTTCTCTGGAACCTAGCTCAAAATTGTATTGGAATGAGCTTCGGAATTCTCCTGACAATTCATAGGAGTTCCCAGGTATTCTAAAAAAACAATTGATCAGAGTTTACTTGAAGCTTCTACAAAAATAACTATTTTAACAATTCATATGAAACTATCCTCTGAATAAAATCTCTTTAATAATTGTTTCAATATTCAGTTCAGAACTATCTCCGATTTTTTTTTTTTAAATTACCCTGAAATTCTCCTGCAAATCCCCAAATTGCAACTTTCATTTGAATTTCCTTGAAATTCCCTTGGAATTCTCCCTTGGAATTGCCCTTGAATCTTAACATTGGAATTATCCTTACAAAGTTAACCCTATCCTCAGAATGAGATTCCCTTAGAAACCTCCTAAAAAGTCCCCATAAATTAACCGCAAAATAATCATGTAATTCACTTCATAATTGTTTGGAATTAAGCCTAGTAGACAACTGTAGTAGCACACTTGGTGTAGACTGGTTGTGATAACTTTAATGGGACTAAATTCAGTCATAGTAAAGCTACAAAGTTGTGCCTTAAGCACACAACCGTCAAAATAAGTTGCAGCAACTTGATTGTGACTAAAATAAGTTACATAAAAGTTATGTCAACCAAATTGCCACAAGTGTGCTGCTAGGGAATTGCACTACTCGGGAAAATTATCTTGAACTAAACAGTGATGGAAAAGTTCGCGAAAACTCACTATGACTCGCGAACTTTCCCCTTGGTGAACTTCGTGAAATATCGCGAACTTTTCCAACACTGGAACTAAATAAGAGGAGACTAAGATTTGTTTGAAAACATATCTTTGAATTCTCCTTAAAATTGCCTTGGAATATTTTCAGAAATTCTTCGGATATTTAATCAGAGATTTTTCTCGAAAATCCCTTTGAATTCTCCTGGTAATTCCCTAAAAACCTGTTTGTAGAGTTAGGACTGTCTTGAGAATTCCTATAAAACTATCGTTAGAAATATATTTTCATGAAATTCTAATCGGAATGGCATTAGAAATATCATCAGAAAGCCATTGAAAATCTTCCCTGAATTTCCTTGACTTTCTTTTCAAAATTTCGTTGCAAGTCACCTCAAGATTGCCTATTCATTAATCTTATGAAATTCTCTTGTCAATTCTCCTGAAATCACCCTTGGAATTATTCTCATAACTTTATTGGATGGCTCCCAAAAATCCTCAAAGCTGCCTGCGAATTCTTCTCGGAACTCCCTTGAAACTTTCTTCAGAATTGTAACTCTCCATTCAATTATTTTGAGAAAATCTTTAAAATTCATCAGTAATACAGTAATACAGTAATCTCTCCATTTATGCAGTGGGTGGTACCGTACACCCACCGCTGTTTATCGGCTGTCGTTCAACCATTTGAGCTGATTTTCTAACTAGTCAATGGTTGACACTAATCACATACAAAAAATCAGCGTAATTGATTGAAGGACAGCCAAAAACCAGCCGCACAAATGAAGGGATTACTGATTCACCTCTGAAGTGTTTTGCAATTAAACACTGAAAAAAATCACAAATTTGCTTCAAAATATTAATCAAAAACTGTAAAACTTTAACAACAAAAAACTATGTTATGTTAATGAAAGCTAAGTAGAAATTACCAAATCATAGAAAATCAACTTTAAGTAAAATTTAGAAAGTTGAAATCTTAAAAATGCACTTTTTTTATTGAAGTTTTTTACAAGTTTCATCATGTTTTTACAATAATTTATGATTTATTTCAGTGTGTATTTTTCCAGAAATGGCAATCCAGATTCCTACATCTTTGTCTCAGACGTCATTTCTATTAAAGGGTGTAACGGGTAATCAAGCTTATTCCAAAGTTGATGGTTTCCAATTTGGATTTCAGGACTGTGAACATTAGAAAAATGTGAAGATCATAGGCGTAGAAAATGTTGTAAGAACTAAGAATTTGCAAATATTCGAAAGATCTCGCAAATAGGAACATTTTCAGATGGGACATTTTGAACCTTTGATATAGCAGATTTTTCCATCTTTAAAACATTTCGTTCTTTCGAGTTTCAAATGTTTCATCTGATGACATTTCTAGCTAATTTTTTTTTCCTTCTTTGAAGCATGAGAGGTTCTTTAAGGGCTTACCGTCGTAATGGATTTTAACATCTTGGATGAACAATGCATCAACATAATATCTATTTTAATATTTGCTGCTGATTATTTCTGAAGCTAGTCTATTAAAGTCTCATTTGATTAATCTCTTCTTCACTTAAAAAAATGAAGGGCACAACTATAAGCTCCAACAATACGAAAATGGTTCCCAACGTATGATGCAGAGCAGCAAACATGGAGTTGCATCTGCAAAGTGTGAAGTTTATGAAGTTTCCGAGATTTGCACTCTGGAAAATTTGAAGTGGCAGTGCAAATCCGTCATCATGTCGGCCATATTTGGTGCCCATCAAGTATGGACTCAAATTAGAGCAACGCAGATGTCGTCTAAGGCCTACGTTAAGATCTAATGTTGGGCCTACTTAGCACAACCCGCACTTTACCTCTCTTTTTCGAGCGGATTATCTTGTTCCAGGAAACGTTCTTGAATCAGAATAACCTTATCCGTTCGTACTAAAATCACCCAAGCAAACAAAACTTGCACACGCACTCATATGTAGGAATGAATACCAAACATCTCTTAAAACTGTGAGTCGGGCTGAACGTGTTGCAGTTTCGTTTTTGACAGTTACAAATTTTAGAACTGTTGAGTAGTTCGAAACAATTTTGAAACTCAGCGTTCCGAACGGCCATACCTATGCAATTTGAAACGTAACAAAAACCAGTAGTCCAAGATGAAAATCACGTATCTTAAATTCGAAAAATACCATCAATCATAAATCCTCCTCATAGCAACGCACAATGGAGCCGCCCGATATGTTGTACTAAATCAACCACTCTTCAATGACGCCATTCTAAATTTCCGCCATTTTCCCCCCATTTCAGTGAACTGTCGATCATGCACATGGAAGCGCTGCAAAAGTTCAAGCAAGACCACCCGCAGTACGTTTTCCCCGCGCTGTATAAGGAGCTATTCTCGATCGACTCCCAGCAAGATCTAATGACATAACAGGATCACCCCCCTCAACCGCAACAACCACTACCACAACAACAACAACAACAACAGCAACAACAAGAGCAGCAGCAGCAACAATCGCAACAGCCACAGCAGCAGCAATCACTTCCAAAGCAGCACAACTCGGACCTCGCACCATCATTATCTGTGTCATCAGCAGCATCCTCGGAAACATGTGACGACGTTTATCACCCCAACAACCACGACAGCAACCAACATCATCATCATTCCCCAGCACAGCAACAACAAGAGCAATATATGGAGGGAAGCACAATGGAAACGGAAACGGTAGAAGATTGCAAGTTGGAAAGTTCGACGGCTCCGGCAGCGGCATCGGTTCAGGTCAGCGATAACAACACCTTCATCATCATCATCCAGCAGAACGGTGAAGTTATCACTCAAACGAAATAGGCGGACGGGTGTCACAGTGTCGCGTCGCATCGCACGCAGTACTAGAATGCAACAGCCAATGCTTCAAAAGTGTTTTCAGTTTCCTTCCTCCACGGTCGATGAGTGTAGCTCAATAACTGAGTCGAATTCAACTCAAAATTGCAAACAGTGGGGTTCCTCAGGGAGTGAGTCAATTTTTCCTCACTTTTCCGGGAGGAAAACAGCTTGCACGGCTAATGAGAGCGGCTCAAAATTGTGTCGAATTTGACTCAAAATTACAAAAAGTGGGGTTACTTAGTGAATGAGTAAATTTGCTTCCACGATTTTTCAGGAACAACTTCTTAAATATGAGGTAAATCGAGAGACATTTCACTCGATCTTTTAGTATACTCCTAGACTGAGTAAAATGTTGGTCGATTTTTAACAGTTTTTCGCAGAAGAGTGAAGAAAATACTACTCACTAAGTATTCCCACTTTTGCAATTTTGGGTTGAATTCGACTCAGTTACTGAGCTAGTCTCATCAACCGTGTAAATTTGAGGAAAATCTAACAAAATTCTACTCAGTGAGTGAAATATCTTCCGATGTTCCTCATGATCAAGGAAAATTTTACTCATTCACTCTTTTGCAATTTTGAATCATATTCGGACTCAATGTTGAGTTACTCTCATTGGCCGTGTCTCATGGTCATGTGCGCGGGAGATTGAAAAAAAATGTTGTGTTCAATCGCGGTTGAGGCGAAGTTGAAAGGGTGCTAACAGTCAGAATTTGCGTTGCATACATAGATTTAGGCGCGGAAGCGAAGTGTGTGAAACTATAAATGCGAGGGAGTAGTTGCATGCAAGCGTGTCTTCCCGCGAGTCCGCGAGACATAGTTCAAGTAACAACACACATACACATACAAAACACAGAAATGCGAAATGACGCTTGAAGCGTTTTCTTCGCTGCATGTACACTGTATCGAAACGAGCGCCGATTCGCGGTGGTAGTTTTGGTTGGTTAGTTGAAGCTTTAGTTGGTACTGCTAGGCTCGTCTCCGGTGGACTGCGCGGTGTGGAAGGCAACGGCGCGCAATAGCGAAGAAAACCATAGGAAATATAACAAAACACAGAAAAAATACACACACTCACACACACACACACACACACGCAGACACACACTGAGAGCGATAGTAATTAGTTGTTGATGTAAATGAATTTAATGATTGTTATATTATTTTAAAAGTTTTAATTTATATTTTTTTGTTTTCGCTTATTGTCTTCTTGAGGATTTTTTTTTTATTTTAAAAAAATGAAAGGAAAAGAAAAGATTGATGTAAGTTATAGGTGAAATTTATACATATTAGTGTGATAAGTTTAGATTTTTTTTAGCAAGCACACAAACACAAATGTCAAGACACACATACACACACACATACAAACATACAGATTGTGAAATGTTCGAACGAGGAAACGAGAAAGGAGAACACCAACATGTTTGGGTTCTCCGATTTTAGTACAGAACACAGCCAGAAAAATGTTGCGTAAATTTGTTTCTTCGATTATAAATTTCCTTCTGTTTTGATTTTATTTATTTTTTCTTCAATCGCGCGGCAAACGTACAAACTTCGTGTTCGGAAAAAAGTCACGAATGGTCAAAACTAAGGAAAAGTGATTGAGATTTGTTTTTATTGGATACTTTTCGCTATCCCTGGCAGCGAGGAAGACAGCAAGGTGTTGAGGTTTCACACAGGTGTTACAGAGTGGAGTGTTAAGTTGAAGAGAAAATGATATAAAATGCAAAAATAGAATCTCTTTCTCTCTAAATCGCTTTGTCCGTTATCTTTTTGATTTTCTATTCTCTTTAGGTAGGAAAATTTTCCATTTTTGTTGGAAAAGTAAAAATCAAAAACAAAACAAAAATTCGACAAGAAAGCGAACGCGAAACTGAATGGTCCCGGTTTTTCGGTGTTTTCCGTACTAGTTGTATTTTTCTTTGGTCTTGCTAAGCTCGTAGAAAAGTACCGCCTCTTCGATAATATTCGTTTTCGGAATTTTATTTTTGTTTTAGTTTAGGGAAGCAAATACTGTAAAAAAAAGGAAACGTTTTCAGTTTTTTCTCACTGTAGGTAAAATTTAGGGAAGTAATCGAAAATGAAACAAAAGTCGATAAAAGTAAAACATGTGGAAGGGTTCAAAACAGTATTAGCAGGAAAATAACACGAGAAAAATGTGAGTGGAAATTAAAGACTTGAAAAAAATGCTAGGAAGCCGCAGTTAGATGCGAAACGAATACCATTTACTATTCTAGGAAACGACGGATGAGACTCAGTCCAATTGGCTTTAGGAGCTCTGTTTGCCTTAGAAATGTCCTTTTTCCTGAGAGGAAGTAGTTGGAACTCTTTGTACCAGTTTCACACCCAGTTGTGTACTCCAGTTTTGTCTGTAAATGTGTTCCTTTTTACCGTTTTTTACATCAGCTTTTGTTTTAAACAATAATGGTTACTGTTTTTTACACGACGAACCAGAAATACCCCCCTCCCTCTCCCATCATCCCCTCTGTTAGTGTTATTTAACGCAAAAGACTACATACAACTACTGAGAATCAAAAGTTAATTTTTAGCAACAGACTAGTGAACAAAGAAAATCTCTCTATCTCTTTCTCTCCAAACACTCTGAAAGCAGATGCAAAACTGCTCGCGTCAACAATTCAACAAGCGAGACTCTAGAAAAACAACCAAAACTGATAATTATTAGAACAAAAAAAAAACATAAAAGACCCCTCCATAGAAAATTGTAAGGAAACAAAAACAAATCGTACTGAATTTAGACATAGGTTCTTTTTCTAAATTTTTGGAAAACAAAAATACAAACCAACTGAAACAACACGAGCATGAATTTTGGAAATTCGAAAACCGACGAAACATGAATGCAAACAAACGAATGGGAATATGAAATGAACAGCACAGAACAACTTCAACAACGGAAGCAAAACAAAAAACAGCAGGTTCGGAGCAGGAAGCAGAAGAGAGGCGCGCGCACTGATTTACTACTAGGGAACGGAAAGATGTTTTTTTAGTTGATAGGAAAAAATCTTGTACAGGTGGAAGATCACGAAAGAAAGGGGAGAAACGGTAGGATGAAATCGCACACTTCCACAAGACGAATGTTGCAGTTTAGTAGAAATCTGTAGGATGTCGAACGGAAAACATACGGAAGTAGTAGGAGAGGCGAATGCGGAAACGGAAAAGTTACACAGTTTGCAGTAATCCTTACTGCAGCTCGGAAAATGAGAACTTATAAATGTATGGGTGCTTCTATATATAAAAGAATGATAAAAATTATATATATTTAAAAAAATATAAATTAAAACAATTACAGAAGAACGTTTAAATAAACACATACAAGCAGACAAAGAGAAATCAGAAATCTGTAACAGTAAATTAATTACACAGAGGAAGAAAACCACACACATACACACATGTTGAAACGTAAATCGAATATATATTTGGACGGCGGATGAGCCAGCACTTGGGCGGACTGGAGAACAACGTTAATTTCAAACTGACTGTAACATTTTCGCATTAAATTTGACTGCCACGAGTCTAGCTGCTGGTCTGTCCCCGTTTTCTTTTCATGAATGTAAGAATTAATTGCCTTAAATGATATATATTACATAATATACAATATAAAAAAATATATTTAAAGAAAGCAGAAGCGAAACAACAATTACTGAGCAAGCAGTGAAGAACGAGATAAGCACTCTCTCAAAAAAAACACACACACACACAAACACACATACAGACAAACAGTAAGAAGAGGAGAAGAAGGAAAAGAAATTTAGTAGTAATTGATTTTTTTTTTCTAATCATAAATTCGAAGGAGTAAATTCGTCATTACGGTAAAGTAAGAATAGTTATCTAAATTCTATACATAAATATAACACAATAAGTTTAAGCTGAGAAAAGTAACTGAGAAAAGTAAGGAAAACTCTAATATAATTTAAATTAATTTAAAAAGCATCTTTAAGCAGAAGGCATGGTTAAAGAGAAACAAACCGAGAAGGCAACACACCTTGTATGAATTTCATAAGATACGCAAACAAGCAAATCTTGAGAAAACAAAAAAAAACATAGAAAAAATAGCGAAATTCGGGTAGGTTTTAAGTTTCACTGAATATTATAATCTATTATACATAATAATTATATTGAACGATTAATAAACTGATTAATCCTTATGATTGTTGTTTCTTTTTTATTTCTGATCTTTTTCTGCAGAAAAATCACAGATCTCTATTGTAGTTATGCATCATTTTTATTGAGGATAACCCTAGCTAAATGAAGATCACTATTATACATATGAGTAACATATAAATCTTTTCCGATTCACTAAAAAAAGCAGTAGGTAAATAAATAAGCATAACACTGTTGAATAAATTAGTTGAAGAAAGGACCGGTTTATAATTCTTTCGTTTCATTTCTATCACACTCTAGAAAAATTTACAAAACTAATCCCAAACAAGATACAGTTTGAGTAGATTTCGGTTCTATCGAAATTAGTGCAAATTTAAATGTATTACTAACACAACAAAACAAAGCATGTTGGAAGACTAACAAAATACCGAAAAAAAAAACATAACGAATCTATCATTGAACTGAGTTTTAATTGGTTGTTGACCATCATCATCATCGTCATTGTTCAAAACTGCACTTGGTATACGATCGATTTTTGTTCGAAATTATTGTCTGAAACCATTTCAAATGTTGAAAATAACAACTTCAACTGATCGATTGTCGCCGTGTACTTACATATATAAAAAATAAGAAACTCTGTCTCTACCGAATGATGGCAAGTAACAAACGATAAGATAGCAATCCTCCAAACGCACAAATATATACCGATCGAAAGCGAGTATTCTAACACAAATAAGAAGACCCCAACCAATTGAAATTGCAACCCCATTTTTCGTTCAAATTTCATCCCCGAGTCCCGCCTATGTTCAGCATCAACCATTGCAACTAATTAAGACTCACTTGAGAATAAAACACAAACAACATACGGAAGCTTTCTTCAATCTTGTAAAATCTATTATCTAGGTAACAAAACAAAACTTGTCATCCTGCACTGAAAACCTTACTCCGAATTCATCGTTAGACACAAATCCGATTTAATATCAAACAAACTTCACCTCCAAATCATTGAATGCATTTGTTTCAGTTAATAATCGCATTCATACTGACTAACACAACAAACACTCACACACACATACGCACGCAACGCAACATATTCAACCATTACTCTCACGTGCTACTTGCCATCGTCGTCGCGCGTCATTTTCATCTTTGCTGCGCGATATGCAGCAATTGCAAACAAGCATTAAGGACGAAATGAAGAAAAAAAAAATCTGAAGACGATGCATTTATGAAAACAGGAAAAAGCGCAAACATTTCAGACTTTAAAACCAACCCTAAGAACTAACAAAAGCATTGAATCACAGAAGATAAAAAAAACAGTTAAGTTCGAGCAGAAGCAGCAACAACAACAACAGCTAAGACAAAAAGTCATAGCAAACGAACGAGTCACCTGTTGTTGATATTTCTTTTTTATTATTATTAACCAAGATGCAAATAAAAAGACTAACGGAAACCCTTTAAACAGAACTGTTTAAACACAAACTTTACTAATCCAAACAAGATTTGTCGAAACTTAAGCAACAAATGAGAAACAAAAAAAAACTGTTAAAAACAAACAAAACAAAAAGAACATACGAAAGGTGAAATGGTTGGCGAACGAAATGGTATCGAATAAAAAAATAGAAACAAAGTGTTGATTGAATGTTGATGGACAGAAGAAGAAGAAGAAGAAAACTAAAAATGTCAAAAATCGTGAAATGGATGGTATTCAAATTCGAAGAAGAAAAAAAAAACTAGTGATCGGAATCAAGGAGAAGCAAAACAGAAATTATTATGATAAAGCAGTGAAAAATACGCATTCTCAAAATAAAGAAAACACAAACAAATGAGAAAAATAGACAAATGGTCTTTATTAGTGAAATTCATGAAAAAAAATCGGAAGCGTTTTATTTCAGCTGGTGACAACAAAGCCCGATTTTTTAAAAATCTTTATTGCTCCAAAGTCAAAATAAACTACAGTAACTTACCAACCTTAATTGTTATGATATTTATCTAAATGTTTTTTTTTTTTTACATTTTAAACAGGTTTTTTTTAACCTGCATGTCAGTATAACAATTCACATCCTAAAACTAAAAACTAACACTAAATCTTAAAGGGAATTAATTATTGCAATTAAGGATTGCATCGATTTATGCCTGAAATTATTAATTATGTTGTTGGACATTTGTTCTAAACGAAATTTTATGTACCTCGGTAGTACTGCACCAAAGAGGCAACTTTAAAATCAACATTAGAACTTTGCTTACCCGGCACTTATTGCTGATGTTATTGCTTCAGCATATGTACTCTCACTTCTCCACCCATCATTCTCTGGGAGAGCGGAAGATCCGCACAAAAACAAATAACCGAAAAGCAAAATGCAGCTCTCCACTTCACAGCTCAGCTCCGGATCTGAATCGTCGACCCGAATGATTCAGTGGGAGCTGTTTAGGATACCAGTTTTCAGACCCGTCGAGCTCTTTGGATCTTTTTTTCTCATTTTTTATGATTCAGCTTCCCGGATCATGCTCATGATCTGGAACTGAAGTCGAAAATATTGAGAGCATTTCGGCTGGAGAATTTACATCAATATAGACTGGATTGCCTAGCATATGTGTTCGAAGAAAAGTTGCGGACGTCGCCAGAATTTACCGAATTCATGAACATTTATTCTGAGAGTAAACGATGTTATAAATTCCTAAATTTAAGTATGTTAAATTTAGTATAAATTACCGGGTATCAATTTCGACATACTTTTGCTAATTCAACACCTCTTCAAACATAAATCCGATTGCGTCGTAGGCATCCCTAACTTGCGCAGTTTCAGCTGTTGCATATTAAATATTGATTAGCAAACGGGTGCTTATAATCTTTAAATTAATTAATTTTCCCTTACCTTTTAGTTCGGTAATATAGACTTAATTGTAGTTTGTAGAATAATATAGCAGTTTCTCCTAAATTTCTATTTATAGATGTAACCTTATGTTGATTTCAGTATTAACTGTAGGAAAACAACTATGTTTAAGCACTAGATAGGTTAGCTTAGGTTAAGAAACTAGATTTTAAGGAAACTTTTAGATATTAAGCATAGAATAATTTTCACTTTCACTTTCTTTCAATCGAGCTACTTTTTTCTTCTATACACGTTTGGCAAGTCATCAACGGATGACAGATCGCGATCACGGCAGCGAAGATGACGTAGCGATCATGCAGTGGTGATCATGCGAGATCAGTGACGGGTCCCGCTGCTCACTTCTCATCACTCACAGGAAGTCGAGGGGTTCGCCGAATCGATAGGCGTAGTAACACTCCCCCCGAATGCGCAGAAGGTCCTCCGGAAGCGTATTGATCCCTAACGCCTACGTCAAGCACGGCGAGTTTCACTGCGGGCCGTTCGTAGATGCCATGATCAGTCTGGACGGTGGCACTCCTCACTTGTCCATCCTGTCCAGGTCTAGTTGCGATGACTCGTCCCAAAGGCCAGCTGTTACGAGGGGCCTTCGGGTCTACGATGACCACCACGTCGTTCACATGGATTGGTTTCACCTTCATGAACCACTTGGTGCGCCGGGTGATAAACGGAAGGTAGTCCCTCAACCACCGCCGCCAGAACTCGTTGACCATAGCCTGTGATAGTTTCCAGTTGTTTCGGAGCACATTGGGACTATCGTTGTACGGCACCCATGACTTCATCCCATTTGACGATCCTAGCAGGAAATGGTTGGGTGTCAACACCGGTGATTCATCGTCTTCCATAGGGATGTCCGTCAGAGGTCGTGAGTTTAAGACATTCTCAATTTCTAGTAACGTACTATAGAGAATCTCATCTGTTGGAAGTCTTGTTCACGGTAACTTATGGAGATTGGATTTCACACTGCGGATCAGGCGTTCTCAAGCCCCGCCCATGTGTGGACTTGCTGGTGGTATGAAGGTCCACTCCGTATTAGGCGTCGTGAACTCTTGCATGAGCTGCTCCTGATCGATGTTCTGCATCACTTCTCTCAGTTCTTTGGATGCCCTCTGGAAATTGGTACCACGATCGCTGAAGATAACTGCAGGTGTCCCTCTCCTGGCCATGATGTTTCGTATCACCAGGATACACGAGTCGGTTGTCAGTGTGTGAGCTAGTTCTAAGTGGATAGCGCGGGTTGTGAGGCATGTTGCTAAGACTCCCCACCGTTTTTCGGAACGTCGTCCTACGATGACGGTTATAGGACCAAAGTAATCCACCCCCATGTATGTGAACGGTCGTGTGAAAGCAGCGAGACGGTACGGTGGCAGGTCACTCATTGCGGGAGGCTGCGGAGACGCACGGTCGTTTTTGCATTCCTGGCACTCTTTCCGTACAGTCCTGTACGTCGCTTTCAGTTTGGGAACACGGTAGCGTTGACGAATTTCGTTGAGCGTTGTTGCATGATTCTGGTGGTTGAATCGCTTGTGGAAATCAAGGAGGATGAGCCGTGTGATCGGATGCTCACGAGGCAGTATGATCGGTTGAGCGGCATCTCGGGCGATGAGCGGACAAGATTGCGTTCGACCTCGAACCCTGAGGATATTGTGTTCGTCTAGAAAGGCACATTGATGGAAAAGTGGACTGCTTCTAGGGATAGAGCTATCTGGATTCTCCGTGTGCCGGTTTCTAGAGAGAATGGTGATCTCATCTGCGTAAACGGCATTCTGTGCTGTTCGGAACAGATAGCATTCAGCATCGCTCAGCTCTCGTCGTTGTAGGGGTCCGTTGATCCGTTCCATCTGATATACGCTGATTTTCAGATTGCGTACATAGCGAAGAACGTAAGCTGTGCAGCGAAGCATTTTCTGCCAGTTGGAGAAACGATGCAGGTCGATCACCGGGTTTGCGACTTCCGCATGCAACAGCAAGTGTGGGCGAAGGGTGGTGTTTTCGGTGCGATGATTGGCGGTAGGCCACTGATCCGACGGTTTCCACAGGAACTCTGGACAACTAAACCAGCGACTGGAAGCGGACAAGTCGGGATTGTTTTTCCACTTTGTTCCTTCATCTGCTACGTTCTGCTTACTCGGAACCCAATTCCATTCGCGTACATCCGACGTCTCGAGAATTTCGCTAACACGAAAGGCGACGAACTGGCTATAACGCCGGTGATCGGAATTCAACCAGCAGAGTACATCCTTAGAATCCGTCCAAAAGAATCGCTGCTTCACCTTGATTGACAGCGAATGGCCTATGGTGTCTGCTAGCCGAACACCAATAATCGCGGCTTGAAGCTCGGAGCGTGGAATTGACAGAAACTTGAGAGGTGAAACTCTTGTCTTAGATCCCACAAGCGCACACTCAATGTTGCTTCTTGGAACCTCAGATATACCACGGCCGCAAAGCCAGTTTCGCTCGCATCGACGAATGTGTGTAGCTGGATATCATTGTCTTCGGCTGTAGAGGTCAATGTCCGATAACATCGAGGGATCTGTGAATCGTTGATCAAATCATCCCAACCGATTGAAGATCTCCATATTTCCTGCAGAAGCGTCTTGAGAACCATTAGGAAGTGGCCAATCAGCCCAAGCGGGTCGAAAATCATCATGAGAGTCCGAAGGACCTCCCGTTTTGTTGGTCGACGGCTTCCCGATAAAAGAAGTTCGTCTATACGATTGGAGATCTTGAACGTGAAGTGATCTGAGGTAGTGTTCCACCACATTCCAAGAATCTTTTCAACCGTATGTTCACCGCCCAGGTTTTTCTCCGTTGTGGCTGATTCGTTCAGCGCCTCCAGTACTGCCCGAGAGTTAGACGCCCAATTACGAATTTCAAATCCCGCCAATGCATGTATCTTCTTCACATCACCCGTTAGCTTGATTGCTTCTTCCTCCTGTTCGACACTCAATAGCATATCGTCAACGTAGTGACGCTTGACGATCACTTCGACTGCAGCCGGATAGTCCTGTTCGAATTTACTTGCATGAAGGTTTTTTACGTACTGTGCAGTACTCGGGGAGCAGCAGGCTCCAAAGGTCATCACTTGTATGACGTAAGTGCTTGGATTTTCTCCGTTGTCCGCATAGAAGAAGAGCTGGTAGGGCTGATCATCCTCCCGCATCAAGACTTGCTGATACATTTCACGAATGTCGCCGCAAACTGCCGTTCGGAATTCTCGGAATTGAGTCAGTACTGATGGCAGCGACGTTAATAAGTCCGGGCCCTTTAGTAATACGGAATTCAAAGAGACTCCGTGGGCGGTTGCCGCCGCATCCCAAACGAGCCGCGTCTTTCCAGGTTTGTTTGGGTTTACCACCGGGAACATTGGTAGGTACCAAACACGTGAATATTTCGCTTGAACCTCCTCATCAGTCAGCTTCCGAATGTAACCTTTCGTGATGTGATCCTCGATCTTCGCTTTAAGACCTATCAGTATCCGAGGACAGGCGTTCTCATACGACTCGATCGGTAGCCTAGCAAGATGTTGATATTTCTCCTGGATCTCGAAATACAGCAGCGTCTGTGGTCGAATTTGTAAGCTTTGCACGGTATGTACAGAGGAAAGTTGGTACTTCTTATTCGGATTACTGCAACTGGAGATTTGTAGACTTACTATCTGTGAAGCGTTCTCCAATCGCTGCGTTTCTCCCGTCCATTTCAGGCATAATGACTTCCGTGGTCCTTTCAATCCTAGCTCTTCCGCTAGGCTTTGATCCATTAAGGAAAGTTCAGACCCGTCATCGATAAATGCGTACGCTTGCACTGTTTTGGATGGCCCGTAAAGACGAACTGGAAGTATTCGAAACAATAGTTTTGACTGTCCTTGGTGGATGTTACAGCTCTGCTGGGCTGTTCGCTCTGACGTAGTAGCAGTGGTGGTTGTTCCCGTTGAAAAGCTGTTAACTTGCTGTCGTTCGGCACTGTGGAGGAGAGGGTGGTGTAAATAAGTGCAACCACTCATTCCGCATGGCTTCTGTTGTCTGCATGACCCGTTGTGTTTACGTAAGCACTTTCGGCAAAGTTTGCACTCTCGCACAGCAGCCCATCTCGAATCGTAACTGAATTCTGCGAAACGCTTACATTTTGAAACGCTTAGGCAACCGGCCTTACATATGGGACCGCCATGGCGGCAGTAAATTTTTATCCAAATCAACTTCCAAGCAGATTACTATAAGAATCTGAAGGATCGAAGAGAAATTTTCCAAATCGATATCCAAGAAGGATTACCTCGGGTAGGGTCCAAACAAGGATCGAAGAGGAATAAGAGTTGAACAAGGTAGAAAAATATTTACAGGTTGAGCACTGAAAAGTGCTGTTTAAATTTGTTGTAGCTTTAGGTACTAGTAATACTTCCTTCAGCAAAAAGCAAATAGATCCGCACGACAAGAGAGCACGATGCGGACTGAAGAAACAACTTTTGATTCCCCCAATCGTTACGGCTATTAGCGTGATATTGTAAATATTATTTATTCAAATTATAGTTGGCCTATTATACGAAAATCCATGCTGGAGGTGACGGGTTTGGTTCCCGGTCTGAGGTATGATTTTATTTTTATTTTATTTTTCTCGATGTCCCTTGACCAGAGCATCATTGTGACAAACTATGGTGGCAGTTGGGGACGACACCAAGCGTAATGGTTAACATCCATAGTGCCAAAATCACGAGCTCAAATCTTATGATTACTCTAAGGAATCATCCAACACACTAACATAGTACAATATTATACAACCTGATTTCGAGAAAATCTCTTCAAAATTTATCAAATCAAGTAGGGTAATAATAATAATAATAGGGTTGGACATATTAATTTTTTTTTTTATTATAGATGTTTCAAGGTAAATCGCTGTGACATCCTTATTCTCGGAACCACTTCGTAACTTTAAGTGCACAAATAAAGTTTCTACGACACGTGCAACATTTAAATTGTTACTCGACGTTTTCTGCACTGCAGCATACATGAAGTAGCAATTTCAGGTGAAATGTGGCACCGATTTCTGACATTTGTGTAATTGAAAGTTCGAAGAGGAAGTGCATGTATGGCCTACGTGGCGGCCATTTGGGGACACTACAAGGAATCACCTTTAAACGACACAGTTCATTCGCGTCTTTGAAATTATTGGTCCTCATTTTTTTATTTCCTTGATTTTCCTAAGCACAAATGCTACCGACGCCAGGGAGGCAGCTGCCACACCTGGTCCCTACCAATCGACCCATCATCTCATGAACCGGGGAACTCATGAACGGCTTTTCAAAGGAAGGCGTGATCAGAGATGTTATGCCTCAGAACATCCCGGCGGCGCCGACTGGGATTGAATCCAGGCCTGTTGGGGTGAGAGGTAATCACGTTTACCACGATACCACCAGCGCTGATATTAAGTGCACACTGATTATGTTATTGTATAAATGATCAAAAAAAATAAGTTCAATAACTACAAAATACAGGAAATTTCACCTAACATCAGATTTTGAACTACTGTTGTATCCACCATTTGATGCTGAACGCCAATTTGCTTTGAACTGTTTCTCATTTCCAACTGTTTTCTGAGTTTTCTTGAGGTTCGGCATACCGGTTGCCCAACATTTTTCATTTGGGTGCAGCTCCGGTGAGTTTGGAGGGTTTTTGTCCTTGGGTACGACTTGCACGTTGTTGTTGGTATAACGTTCCTGAGTCATTTCCCCGTAGTGACAAGAAGCGAGATCTGGCCAAAACAGCACGGAACATCTGTGTTTCTTCAAAACAGGCAACAATAAATTTTGCAACATTTCTTTTCATAAATATCTTGGTTGACAATGCAATTTTCGCTTTTCATCCCACATATGCAAATTGCCTGCCAAACCTAGTATTTTTTTTCAGGAACTTGGACAACTTGTTCTGCTTAAACTCATCTTGAACCTTTCCTTTTCCAGTAGCCGTGTAAACTCTTGACCTGGGAGCTGCTTGAAATCCGCCTTGACGTATATTTCATCGTTCATTCTAACGCAATCACATTTTTGACGCAATAAATCTGCGTGACAATAATTTGGATTTTGCTTATGCGCGAGCAAAATTTCGATACGCTGTTTCTCTTGCTTTCACGCCATTTTAACAATTGAATGGAAAATGGCAATAACAAAATAGAGGCAACATTCCGTACGCACAGACCTACAAAATGAGGTATGTTCAAGTTTTTTAAATGTACGATTAAAAAAATCGTCAAATTTGAGTCGACCAATTTTTAACCGTTCCACCCTTTACTTAAAAAATATTTTAAGATTATATTGTCCGTGTTGCGTACCGTAGGCCAATTGATTGAATTTTGAGTTGCTGTAATAAACTTACAGAGTTTTGGTGATTCCATGCAGTTCCCGTCGACGAAAGGAGTACTCACACTTCCACCACCAACAAGTTTGTCTGTCAAAAGTATACCCAACTGAAGATCGTGTTCTCCTTCCCGGCACCTGGATTGGACTCGATCTGATTGAACATATTAAATATTCTGATCTACTACTCGTTGCTGTGTTTCTAGGTCAGATCAAACCGAAACAGACTGATCCACCCTGGCTGAAATAATCAAGATAGTAAAGTCAAATTAATTTGCTTTGTGGATAGGAATTCGGCAAAGCGGTAGGGATGCAGCGATTAGCGCGATTTTAGTAAATTGCGCGTTTGCCACTGTACCGTTAAGCCACTATGCCACTGTCATTTTGTTCAGCCCTTTAGTCATCAAGGGCAGCTTTTTATTCTGATATAAATAATTAAATCTCAAAGGATATTTGAGAAATTGCTAAAAATGTGTGTGCAACTCCTTGCAAAATTCGATTGTTTCAGCACCAGTCGTAATTATCCAACTAGGCAATCCTACGACTCGGGCTGAAAAAAATCTTCTTTTAGCAACTTATTGCATAATTTACTATTATTAAACTTTAGCTCAGCTGAAATATGACACAGAGCATGTACCATTTGACCCATCTATATTAAGTTGAGATACCTTGAGGTACATTTAACTTGTACCCATGGAGATTGTTTCTGGAACTTATGATAATTAATTGAGAAGATTTAATCCTCAGCAGGTCGCGAAATTTTCACGTAAGTATTTTTTTTTTTAATAATCCTAAAAATTAAGTTTTCCTTAGAAAATCAACTATCCCATCCATATAAAGCTGCATATTGCATATTGCATATGCATATTGATTCTGGAACTTATGAGAATATTATCAGAAGATTTAATCCAGAGCAAGTCACGAAATGTTTACGTAATTACGTATTTTCTAAAATTATCATAAAAATTCAACTTTCCTTAGAAAATTAACCATCACATCCATATAAAGTTGAGATACCCTGAAGTACGTTCAGCCTACAGATTGATTCTCTATTCTTGAAGATATTTGAAAATACCCTATTCCATGTTTGTTGATTATCTACATTGAGGGGTAAACAGAATGCTTACCGTATGCGTGATAATGTTTGCACCATCGTACAAATAAGATTTCCGTTTCACCTGTGCGTACAATGCCTTGGTTTTCTTTGTATGCACGTAACCTATAGCTCATACCGTATTACACTGTACACAAACATCATCCTCTGATCGAATGAAACCTCAGACCATTCAAAACAAAACATCGAAATCCCTTTTTTCGAATGATACCTGCAACCGGATGACGGTTGTTTTGAAATCAGATGATTTTCCTTTAGAATACAGGATGAAAATTGTTATGAGAAGGGATAGGGCCTTCAGTTGAAATGCGTAATGCTCTCTGCAGAATGACTGTCATACTAAATGGAAATGCATATGGTATTGGCTCAGCCCCATAACGCAAATCATTCAAAACGATGATGTAAATAATTCTATCGAATGTCATTTGCTGATCTGAGCTGACAAACGAGGTGGAAGCATATGTATCGCTATCAGAGCTGTTACGAACATAGGTAAAGAATGAAAACCAATGTTTTGTATCCATGATGGAATGGCTTATTATGGCTATTCAGTATGGAATAGTACACACTTAATCTAGCTCGGTAAAATCTCCAAAAGCCGATTACCTCGGCATTCTTTTTTTGCTGATATCTCTGCAAAATATCTGTTTGTTAACTGACAGCTCAGCAAAATGTTATTTGTTAGCTGAGTCTCGGCAATTGTTTTACTGAATCTCAGTAAAATAAATTGCAGAATTACTCGGCTGTTGGAATCTCGGCGAAAATATTTAAGTGTGTACATAATCAAATAATAAATCTAATTAAAAGCACTTCCATGTCACACTATTCTTAAATGTTTGTCCCCTGAGTGCCGTATGTTTTATAGCAAATTTTCAAACGAAAATCATCTTGTATTTGAATGACAGTCATATGGATGTTCATCATCTGACGACGAATTCTACCATAAGAAAATCATCCGAAATTCGAATGCATATTGTTAAAGGGCTCGAGCACTCTGAGTGTTCACTCGGATGTCGACAAAAGCAGGCCACTCTCGATGTGTGTTACGCGATCGTCTGTTTTATCGGCAGCAACCATTGTGTGGTCCTCCTCATTGTTCTTCATCAGCAGTTCTTTCGGTCGATGCGTCGTCGACTTTGGAAAGCAACCGTTTCGTGATGAGTGTGTGAGTGCTGACCACGTTTTGCGTCAATTGCTGCAATGGACGCGCTCTGACCCTCGTTGGCGTACAACAATTTGCCATACAATGAAACTACTGGAAGCGGCTCCAGTTCTGATGGAGGAGGCTTTTTGGATAGCGGAA